AGGCTTAAAAACGCAAGCATTCTCTGGCGCAGGCTTGGGTTTAGATCGGCTCTTCTTTAAACTCGACTTACTGGATGGGTCGGGCGCAAGCTTGGGCAGGGGAGGATGAGGGAAAGGCCTAGGCACCGCACAAGTGCGGTGCTCAGCGTCAGACGGGTTCAGGCCCAGCGTGATCTGCAGGCCTGCATGTGCCCTCCACCCGCCATCCACGATTGACTGCGTGCTCCTCACGAAGGGAGCGAGGTCCTTGGAGCAGACGGCGAAGTCGTAAAGTCTCCCATCTCCAGCGAAGCTCGTTATAACCACATTATCCGTGAGGACTTGCTCTGTGACCAGCTTCTCCATCCAAGCGTCGAGGTCGGCAGGCTCTACATTCCAATCTCCGAATGCGATCCACGGGGCAGCCTGTGCAGAAAGAAATCCTCCTAGCGTTCGCAACTTTCAAGTTTCTGCCTCTAACTCCAATTCCATGATCAAGGTAGATTTGCACTACAACAATCTGTTGCCAGGACGTGTTGATACTCATGGCCGAGAAATCGTGGAAGTCGACTGGGCCGCGTCCGAGCTCCTTCTTGCCGCCAACACTGGCGCCGTAGCACTGGGGGACATCCGCGGCAAGGTGAGCGAAATAACGAACATTCAGGCCTCGCTTGACAGCCAACAACGTTCCACCAGCCTTCTTGATGTTGTCCCTGGGCATTGCTGGAGACAACACTGGCCTCCAACCAGCTTTCGTAATGCCGTTGCCCAGGTCGTCAATATCTTCAGGTCCTCGATGATGTTCGCAGAGCCCCACGACGTCGTAGCACTGCCAGTCCTTCTTGAGGTGGTCCACGACCTTGGGGCCCGACTTTGTGATGTTGCGCATGTAGATCGGCGTCTTCTCTGCGCCTGCCTTGCGCTCTGGGGGTCCAGGACGAACATCAGGGCAAGGAACAAGCGGCCGCGGGTCTCCAGCCGATTCTCCTGCCCCAGAGCTCCTTGGCCCGCTCTGCGCCGTCGTCGGGGAAACCCCTCTAGCGCGAGCGTAGCCAAGGGCCGTTGGGACAGGAGTCTCAACCTTCGCAGACGCCTGCGGCCTCGGAGGCGACAAGGAAGTCGCGCGTGTGGCCGTACTCGTAGAAGTAGGAGTGGGCTCGGCCATGCCCACAGGCTCGATGCTGTCGCAGCGAGCTCCTGCGCCCCCCTCATGGCGTAGCCCAGGGGGGCGGGCTGCTGCTTGTCAAGCATAGGCGTCGCCGCCGCTGCTCCCAGCAGCGTCGCCCTTGCTCGTGCCCTTGCCAGCTGCGATCAACTCCGCCTTGCGCGCATTGATCTTGTCCAGCTCCTCCTGGGACGGCCCCAGCTGGGTACTCGATGCTGCCGACGCGCTGCCAGCGGCTGCAACCTCGGGCTCCTCTGCAGGGGCGCCCGCCGCAGAGGCTCCGTCGTTGCACTTCTTGCGCTTGTGGGAGAGCAACCGCTGGCGCTGCTCCTTGATGGTCTCGATCTCCTTCTGCACCTGCTGTGCCATAGGCTTGAAATGCTCTGTCACGAGCTGCTTGATGAAGGCGCCGAGCTGGGTCTTCCTCTCACGCCTTTGTTCGAGGAGCTCTCCAGCGCCTTCATAATCATCTTCTTGGCCCTCCAAGTCGAGTAGGTCGCCTTCGCTGATGGAGATGGCGCCTGGAGGTCGATGCCCGTCGTGGCGGGCGGCGAGGCCTTGGACGCTGGTGCCAAGCTGGCACGCACAGGCTCCTCCTCCGCCTCGGCCTCCGCGAGCTTGGTGGCCTGGTCCGCCAGGTAGTGCTCCGCCTCGGTCCACTGCCGCTTGGCCTTCTCGACCCACTGCAGTGTTTCTTGATACTTCTTGTTGGCTGCACGTGCCGCTTCAGCTGCTTGCTTGAGACGGGTCTCGGGCAAGATGGGAACAGGCTTGGGCACTGGTGCGACCTTACTCTTGAGCTCCTTGAAGAGGTGTGGGTCGAGGCGGCGCGCGATGACGGCGAACGCGTCCTCCATGACCACATCATCTGGATCCAGATCTCTGTCCTTCTTCACCTTCTTGCGATTATTCTTCCTCATCTCCCCCCCGCCTTGGCCGAACTTACCCCTCTGGACGTAGCCCATCGCATCAGCAGGTACTGGAGGCGGCGGCATCGGCGGCCTGGGTGGGACCATGGCAAAGGGGGAAGTCACATGGTTGCCGAACGTGTCGGGCTGCGGAAACATAGGCCAAACTGGCTGCGGAGGAAGCGGAGCTGGAGGTGTCGAGGGCGGCGAGGCCCATTGCCCCTTCGGTGGTTGCGCCGTCTTGGGGCTGGGTTGGAGTCCGCCCCCGCACTGGAAACACGACTGTTTCGATCGCCAGTTCCACTGATATCCGCATTGCCGGCATGGCACATACTGGGTCTTAGTCATGGGGTCGCGAACCCCTGGCCACTACTCTGGGAGCGAGCAATCCGAACAATAACACACGCCTCAATCTCTCGAGCGAGGTTGGAAGTTCAGGAGCAGGCCCCTTGAGCCAAAATGGCTACGGGAGGAGGAGGAGGAGGAGGAGGAGGAGGAGGAGGAGGAGGAGGAAGAGGAGGAGGAGGAGGAGGAGGAGGAGCGGCTGGAGAGCGACGACGAGCCCACGAGGAGGCAGCAGAGAGGCTGCGGAAGCCCAAAGGAGGCTGTCAGGACGACGGCCAGGAGGCAACGCACGATGAGCGTCGAGGAGGAGGAGGAAGGGGAGGACGAGGACGAGGAAGAGCCGGCGGCCGGCGGCAGCAGGGCTGGAGGAGACCGCAAAGGCCCCCTGCCCGTCCAGCCAGGAAGGAGGAGCCCGCCGAGGAGGAGGAGGTGCCGCGCCAGAAGCCGCCACAGAGGGAGAAGGCCCCGGAACCGGCCGCTGAGGAGGAGGAGGAGGAGGAGGAGGAGGAGGAGGAGGAGGAGGAGGGAGGGAGGAGGGAGGGAGGAGAGAGGGAGGAGGGAGGAGGGAGGAAGGAGGGAGGGAGGGGGGAGGGTGGAGGGACGGAGGAGGGACGGAGGAGGAAGGGAGGAGAGCGCCGTTGTCGCTGATTGCGTCGAAACCGGCGCCAGCATGCGTAGAAAAATCCGGCGGGCCCCGACGCCAAGCTGGCCCACGATGCTTCCAACACCGCCCGATATGGCCTCCAAAACAGCCCAAGATAGCCGCTGGGCGGCCCAAGAAGCCCCGAAGCCCCATCTCTCGAAAATCTTTGGGCGCCCCCAAACCCCTTCCTCCTATCCCTGGGCGCCCCGACACATTCCCTCGAGCCTTTGGGCGCGTGGCCCGTCTGCGAAACTTGCTGAACGCACCTGGATCTGAAAATGGAAGAGGAAAAACGGGGGGAAGGGGGTGATGATGATGATGATGAGTATGGAACTGACGATAACGATGGCGAGCCGATCGGGAAGGAACTGTCAGCCTACCAAAGCCACTCTTGCGACAGCTGCCCGCAAGAGTGGTGGACACGCCACTCCCATTGGGAACACACAGAAAAGACAAGGTCTCAACGCTTACATAGAAACATGCGCCTGATACGCAAACAGCCTCGCACTGTTTGCGGCCATGCTGTTTTTTTCTTGGCAGGGAAAAAGGACAACCGCCTATGAGCTCCGAAAATAGGTACTCCCCCGAAACGCAACTCGCTCACACCGCCCGCAGACACACATTCGATATCAGCGGCGTTGCGACCGTCACCCCGCGTAACGCAGGGCCCAGTGCTGTGACAGACGCGGGAATGCGACACCACATGGCGGCGCGCTCATCCTTGTTGAGGCAAGGTCGAGTCCGACGGCCTCCTAGCAGCGGCGGCAGAGGTTCAGAGTGAGAGAGGCGGGGCACCAGGCGGGGGGTAACGCCAACGGAAAAAAAGGGCGCTGCCACGCAAACGTATGCCTTAAAAACGCAAACGAACGGCGGAGGGAGGATGAGGGAGAAAGATAACGTGCCAAAATCCGCAATGCATCCACCCTCGGCCTGAGGAGTCGCAGTTCGAAGAGACGGAGGGGGAGGAAGAAGAGAAGAGACAATGTCACTAAATTCGGCCCCTAAAAGCAAACATATGTTGTCCCGGCCGCGTGGCCGATCGGCTGCACACCCGAGTGTTGTGCAGGCTCTCGTCGAACAGAAGACGAGGCGGAGGAGGAGGAGGCGGAGGAGGAGGGAGGCAACACGAACGGAACCCACGGCAGCGCACCGAAACCGTGACAAGCTCTGTTGCTAATCGCGGCTTTACAAGTCAGCCTTAAAATGATTTCCCTCTGCGCGCCCGAGCAGCGCAGTCCCTGGGCCGCCCCCCAACGAAAACGCAGCGGAACTGGCGAACATGGCCCGCCCCAATTGGCAGGACATGGCCGTTCCGCGCCAATGGCCACACAGTGGAGGGAGGAGGAGGGGACAGGGAAGAGGAATGGTGCAGGTGAGGGAGAGGGCAAGAACAACGCCCGGTTTCTGATTCGGGTCGATGCATCGCTTCCCGAATGGCTTGCCTCTCGCCCTACCCGCGCACATCCTCGACTTCCGCGCAATGCCCGCGTCGCCCCGTCAGAGCCCCATTTTCGGTCTCAGCCCCTGCCCGTGGTGACGAATGTGCGCGGCGCTAAGGCGAGAACCACATTTTGAAAAAGAACCGCCCTCAATCCGCGAAGCTCTCGCAATTTTTTGTAATGACTACGTGCGGCGCTGAAGGGAGAACCACAGTTTGAAAACTAGTCGCCCACATTCCATGACATGATTGCAAGAGTTAAAACAAACGTGCGCGGATCTAAAGCAAGAGCCACATTTTGAAAACGACCCGCCCTCCAGCTGCGAAGCTGTTGCCAGTTTTGTGAGCTTCAAAGTCATGCGTGGTGAGGAAGGCTTGGGCGAAACGCCCGGCCCGCCCGAAAATCTGGCCTCGGGGTGCGCAGGGAGAAGTTATCTAGAAGGAAAAGGAATGGAGGAGGAGGGAGGAGGGAGGAGGAGGGAGGAGGGAGGAGCAGGAGGAGGGGGAGGGAGGAGGACCGTCCTGCACGAGGCGGTCGGAGCCGCCCACGCGCCGTGGCGGCTTCGGGGGCGGGGCATGCTCCTCCCGCCCGAGGGGCCGCGGCTTTGTCGCTCGGGGGGGGCGGCCTACCTGTTCCTCCTCTCTGCTCCTCCTCCTCGTCCTCCTCGTCAGACGATCCTCCATTTTGTTTTCCCAATGTTCAACTCCTGTTGCATGGAGCCACGAGTTGAACAAGGAAAATGCGGCGGTGCGCGGGTGACATTTGGCCTTGAGATCCTAACGGACCGTGGTTTTCCCCCGACTAGCGCTCCTCATTCTCCTCCCCTTTCCCCCCCTTCCCTCAAATCCATTCTCCTTTTTCCACCCCACCATCCTGTTCCTTATGCATGACTCCTCCCTGTCGCACCCCGAGGCGGACCGGGCGATTCGCCTCAAGTTTCACGGATGGAGGGCGGGTGGTTTTCAAGATGTGGCTCTCGCCTTAGCGCCGCGCACATCCTTCTGTAAAGTTTGCAAAGGCTTCACGGAGGGAAGGCAGTACTTTTTCAAAATGTGGCTCTCGCCTCAGCGCCGAGCACACTCGTCTTAAGAGCTTGCAAGGGCTTCACGGAGGGAGGACGGTATCTTTCTTAAGTGTGGCTCTCGCCTCGGCGGCGCGCACTTTCGTCTTAAGAGTTTACAGCAGGTACAAAGATTATCAGAACTCGCGTCCTAGACATTTGGCATGATGTGGGACTGCCAGGGCGCAACAATTACGTTTAGACACGGTGAATTCATCCCAAGAGTGGTGTTCTGGCGCGATTCAGGACCGTCCGGACGCAGCAGTAACGTTGATTCGCAGCGTAGAAGTCACAGGAATGGTGCTCTGTCACGGTGCAGGAGATTCACAGACTGTTGTCTTCCAGCGGCCACTGTCCCCAGTGGAAATGAACCATTATAGGGACCGAAAGCAGGGTGTATTGAAACATCGCTGGTGAGTCTCAGGTTTACACGGGTCCTCCTCCTCATCCTTCTCTTCCTCCTCATCTTCCTGCTCCTCCTCCTCCTCCTCCTCGATGCAAGGGCCTTGGAGGCCCACGTGAACGTTTTTCCAACGAGGTTGGCCGGCAAGAGTCGCTAAGGACGGGCCGAAACGGCAAGGATGCAAGGGTACCCTTTGGAAGGCTGCCCATCCTTACTATGCGGGTCAACCGTACCGCTCCCGCCTTCTCCTCCTCCTCCTCCTCCTCCTCCTCCTCTTCCTCCTCCTCCTCCTCCCCCTTCATCATCGTCGTGACCGTTTTCGCCTTCATTCCCATCTTCAGCACCATCACCATCAGCAGCAGCATCATCAGCAGCCGCAGTAGCACAATCATCATCATCATCATCATCATCATCATCATCATCATCATCATCATCATCATCATCATCATCATCATCAGTAGCAGCAACACCATCATCATCATCATAGTCATCGTTATCGTCATCATCATCATCATCATCACCATCATCATCATCATAATCATCATCATCATCACCGGCACCACCAACATAATCATCATCATCATCACCAACACCATCATCATCACCAGCAACAACATCATCATCATCATCATCATAGGCATAGTCATCACCATCCTCATTGTCATCATCACCATCAATATCAGTATCAGCATCAGCATCAGCAGCAGCATCAGCACCAGCACCAGCATCACCATCACCACAATCATCATCATCATCATCACTCATCATCATCAGCACCATCACCATCACCATCACCATCACCACCAGTATCACCACCACCACCATCATCATTAGCATCACCATCACCATCACAATAATCACCATAATCATCGTGACCATCAACATGGTCACCATCACCATCACCATCACCACCATCATCATTATCAGCATCATCAGCATCGCATCATCATCGCATCACCATCGCATCATCATCATCAGCATCATCATCAGCATCAGCATCAGCATCATTAACATCGTCATCATCACCATCATCATAACCAATTATCATCATCATCGTCCCACTCCCCCTCCTCTTCCTCTTCCTCCTTCTCCTCCTCCTCCTCCTTCTCCTCCTCCGATTCCTCCGATCCTCCCCTCTTTTCGCCCCTTCCCCTCGGAGGAGTGGGAGGACAAAGAAGAACGCGAATATAGGCGAAATCATGTCGACGCAAGTCGAGCTCGGCGGTTTCCGCACGCCCTGCGACGGCGACGACGACACCGTTTGTGATCGTTTCTGGTGCGCTTGAGCGTCTCTGAAAGCTCCCGTCGCCGCTGATGGACGCATGTCGACAAATTCGCCAGAATGGACCCTGGAACCTTGTTCATTCGAACATACCGGCACTGTGTTGTGGCAGGTTGGGGGTAGGGTGGGTCAATTGCTGCTTGCGGTGGGTTCATTGCCGCCATCCCGTTGTAAGCATGCCGTCGCAGACATTTGGCTGAGTAACGTTCCGGCGGGAGCGCGAAACGTGATTCAGAACGGGTGTTGGTCGGAAGGCGACAATCAAGGCCATGCGACTGCGGCTAGGACTCGGTGCCGTGGTTCTGCATAGAATTTGACCCGCTGTGGAGCAAGGAGCCCCTTCCAAACCAAGAATGCTCTTCGCTTCAGCGCTACAGCTGTAGATCATCTCTAACTTGCGGCAAAAGAGGACCTACTGTTTGTAATCAGCGCTGGCAGGCATTGAGCATTGCGGGCGAGCTGCGAGCAGTTTAGCAAATTCTGAGATTGCCCGTCCACACTTTGACCAGACACACTGAGCAGATTGTCTGGCTCTGCGTGGTGCTGTTCCTCGTCGTCCTGTTCCACCCTCGGTACACTTCCCCTCCGAACAAAACAACCTTCACGCTTGAAACAACATTGAACATATGCATTGGAGACTCGAACCACGCGCGCGCTTCGAGCGCGCTGAGGTTCTACCAAGCCCCAGGCCGTCACAAGTTCACAGATCCTTTGAAACAGTTACCCACAAATCGCATTAACATGAGGTACACCGAAGCGTCAAAAACCGCGGGCCGAAAAGAGATCAATTAAGGACAAAGGCACACCCATACAATGCAATGCAACCTACTGCAAAGCAACGAATATAATGTTCATAACGCAGTGCCCACACTGGTACTGCAACGCAACGCAGTGCAATTGAAACCAGGCGCGAGCGCCATGCAGCGAGAACCATTGCAAGCAAAAGCTTGCAAAGCAAATGAAAGGCAAGGCAATGCGATGCAATGCAACTCAATTCAAAGCAGAGCAATGCTCACCAGCGCAATTGCGGAGCCATGCCTGTGCACATCCGTCGGGGAACAACCAAGCGAAAGACAATCCAATACAATGCGCAATAGAGGCCGTACGAACCCGAGGGTTCCAGAACTTCAGAGATTACAGCGATCAGTGCTTAAAATAAGTGGTGGATGCCCCTGCTCCGCAGTCGGTAAACCTCCACATGACGCTGGCGCACGAGCTAGTCGTTTTCCTCATCCCCCTCCTCCTCCTCCTCCTCCCTCTCGCAATCGATCCTCCAGCTGGTCCCTCCTCCTCCTCCACCTTCTCCTCCTCCTCCTCCTCCTCCTCCCTCCTCCTCCTCCTCCTCCCTCCTCCCCCGGCTAGCGACCGTTTAGATCGCCACGCAGACTTCTTACGGGGGAAAAGTAACGAATTCGCCCCCCCACTCAGTCTGCCGGGCAATAACTATCACAGGTAGCCCTGGGTCCATCGGCCACGCTGCCGGGACAAGCTGTATGTTTTCTAATTTGGCCTCGGGGGGCAGGATTTGCCCGCTCACATGCGGCGGGCATCTCCGTGGGATCTACATGTCCACCACCTTCCTATACTTTTCTACCGGCACAAAGCCTAATCTGGCCTGCTCTGGACCTGGTGGCACTTTTAAATTCTGGGCTATCATCTGTTCCGACATTGTCCATTTCAACTCTGCGCTTGCGCTGCCATCTGTCTCAATATCCCGGGGGTGCTAGCAGCAACGCCGCCTTCCATAGATGCATCGCGAGGTGCTCACGACCTGGCTCAAGACTTAAGACGTCTGGCATCGCACTGGAAAATTATCCCCGACAGAACGCGGCGCGAGCCTCGGCAGCAACGCTGGCTCATCACACGTTCGTCCATCTACCGGGGGGGCCGTGTTGGAGCCTCTTGGGGCCTCTGTTGGACCTCTTGGGGGCCTCTCTAGGGACTCTTGGAGCCTCCTGGGGGAGGCAGAAAGCTCGAACTGTCGGTGCGTGTTCCCCCTATTGGGCCCCTCTTGAGGCTGTACTGAGGCCCTCTTGGGCCGTCATGGGCGCCTCTTGTGTCGTCTTGGGGCCCTCTTGGGCCGTCTTTGGGGCCTCTTGGGCCTTCCGCGGGCGAGGTTGGAAGACTCTTGGGCAGTCTTGGAGTGTCGAACGCCCCAAAGAGCGAGAACGCCAAAAACAAACAAAACAACATATATCCGCCGATCCGGCGTGTGAGTTTCAAGGAGTCTCAGCTACAGCCTCGAGGCTGAGCTTCAGCCTCTGGGGGGGTCGCCGGGGTGGCTCTGCCGGGGAAGGGGGGGTGGGGGGGGGGGGGGGGGGTGCGAGTTTCCGGCGAACCCCGGGGCCGCTCCGGGGGAGTGGAAGATAGGGGGGGGGGGGGCGCCATGCTCCGCTTTTTCCGGCGCTTTGGAGGAGGGGGGGGGCCCAAGAGACCCCCAAGGGGTTCCAAGAGGGCCCCGAGTCGCCGAAAAATCGCTCCAAGACGCCCGAGATGGCCTCCAGACGGCCCAAGGTGTCTCCAAGACGCCCCAAGAAGCTTCCAAGAGGCCTCCCAAGAGGGCCCCAAGAGGCCAGAATCGTTGATTTTCATTGGTTTTTTCAGGGTTTTTAGCGTTCTTGCCTTTTCGGGCGTCCGACGCTCGAAGACGGCCCAAGAGGCCCCCAAGTCCGTCCCAAGACGGCCCACGATGCTTCCAACACGGCCCAAGAGAGCCCCAAGACGGCCCAAGAGGGCCCCAAGACGGCCCAAGAGGGCCTCTGGACAGCCCAAGAAGGCCCCAAGAGAGCCCCAAGAGGGGCCCAAGAGGGGGACCACGAACCGAAAGAACCGAGCTTTCCGCCCCAAGAGGCCCCCAGGAGGCCCCAAGAGACCCCCAAGGGGCCCCAAGAAGCCCACAAGAGGCCCAAAAGAGGTTCCAAGAGGCCCCAAAACAGCTCCCCAGAGGCCTCCAGACTGCCTCCGGCAGGCCCCCGGTTTCTTCCGCGGCACCGCCCAGGGCGCCACCGGCAGGATGTCCTCCGTCTCATCGTTTTCCTTCAAGTTATCGCCTCTTCCTCATTCTCCTCCTCCTCCTCTGCGACCTCACTCCTATCCCTCAACGATCGCGTCACCGAGTGCCTCTTCTTTGAAACATCCTCGCTCTTCAAACGCACATCCATACACACATGCATACATACCTACATTTAAACACATTTGCATACATAGAAAAACAATCTTCCAGACATACATACTTACATTCACACACATACACACATATTATCATACACACATACAAACATACATACAAACTAAATACATACATACGCGCACAAGCATACATACATACATACGTACCTACACACAGGCACACATGATCAATGCATGCATACATGCATGCACGCGTACATACACACACATATATCGTGAAACTCACCGCGTGCTCGAAACTTGAGAGAGACCGCGGGAAGTCGAGAGAAGCCGCGGAACGAGGCCTCTACTACTACTACCACTACTACCACAACCACTACTACTACTACTACTACCACTACTACTACTACTACTACTGCTACTACTACTACTACTACTACTACTACTAATACTACTACTAGTACTACAGGTGCGTTTCCCAACTAGTATGTGTGTGTGGGTGATGCTGTGTGCGCATGTCTGCGGCGCAGGTTAAGTGGTGTGACTGTGTGTGTGCGTTTGAGTGTGCGCCCATAATTTCTGCGTCTGGAGAATAACCCCGAGCGACCCGGATCGGCGGCACTGGCCGAAGGCCACTACAATATATACATATACATACATACATACATACATACATACATACATACATACATACATACATACATACATACATACATACATACATACTAGAGAACCATCGCGCGCGCTTCGCGCGCGCTCAGGTTCTAGCCCAGGCCGGGGGGGCGCTGGACGATCTTGGACAACGCTATCAAGCACAGGCGCGCGACGGCATCTGAGGAGCTTCTGGGGTGTTCCGCATGCTTCGTCAACTGGCTGTTGGAGGCACCTCTTGGGTGCCTCTTGGGGGGGCGTCTGAGGGTCCCTTGGGGGCATCGGTTCTGCAATCTGAAGCCGTCATTGGCCGTCTTGGCTGCGTGGAGGCCCGACTTGAGGCCACCTGCGGCCAGATTGAGGCAATCCGGAAGCCTCCCGGGGGCCTCCTGGAAGCAGTTTTGACGCATCGAGGGCACTCTTGGGCTATTTTAAAACCTCTTGGACGTCTCCTAGGGGCCTTTTGGGCCCTCGGGAAGCTTTTCGGGGTCCTCTTGCGGCCTCCTGTGGGCCTTTTGGGGGAACGCTCTGCTGTTGGGTCGCGTTCCCCTTCTTGGGCCTCTCTTGGGGCTCTTGGGGCCCTCTCGGGCCGTCTTGGGCGCCTCAAGCACCGTCTTGGGGCCCTCGCGGGCCGTCTTGGGGCCCTCTTGGAGGCCTCTTCCTCTATATTGGAGCGGTATTGGAAGCCTCTTGGGCCGTCTTGGAGCATCGGGATGCCAAAAGGCCGAAAAAATTAAAACCCGTCAAAGCCCAATCGTAAAACAATGAGTTGTGCCTCTTGGGGCCACCTTGGGAGATCTCTTGGAACCTCGTCGGCCCTCTTGGGAGCTTCTTGGGGGCCTCTTGGATCCGATTGGGGGCCTCTTGGGACTTCCCGAGAACCTCTCGGGGTAGAAAGCTCGGATTCTCAGTTCGTGTTTCCCTTCTTGGGCCTCTCTTGGGGCCGTCTTGGGGCCCTCTCGGGCCTTCTTGGGCGCCTCAGGCACCGCCTTGGGGCCCTCGTGGGCCGCCCAGGGCCCTCTTGGAAGCCTCTTCGGCTATCTTGGAGCTGTCTTGGAGGCCTCTTCCTCCTCCTCGTCCCCCTCCCTCTCCTCCCACTCCAGCTCTCTCTCCTCCTGATCTCCTCCTCCTCCTCCTGCAGCGTGTTCCGGAAGGCTCCCGCCGGAACATGCTGTGCACAAGTGCTGTCACTGCTCCCGCCACAGTGCCCTGGGTGGTGGGTCAGAGGCCTCATGGGTGTTGGTTTGGATCTCGTGGTTGGCCTGTCGGGGACGTCGTGAAGGCAGTTTCGCAGCTTCTCGGTAGCCGTTTTGGGACCGTTGTGGGGCCTCCTCGGGGCTGTTTTGTGGCCTCTTTAGGCCTCGTTTGGGCCTCCTGGGTGCCTCTTGGGGGCCTCCTGGGGCCTCTTGGGGGCTCCTTGGGGCCTCCTGGGGCACTCTTCAAGCGGGAGGGTCGAATTTTGGAGTCGTGGTCCCCCTCTTGGGCGCATCTTGGGGCCGTCTTGGGGCTCTGTTGGGCTGTCTTGGGCGACTCTGGGGCCGTCTTGGGGCCCTCTTGGGCCGTCTTGGTGCGCTCTTGGGGGCCTATTGAGCCGTCTTGGAACGTCGGACAGCCGAAAAGGCTGGAAGGCCAAAATCGTTCGAAAACCTTCGTACATTTGACGATTTCGGCCTCTTGAAGCGCTCTGGAGAAGCGTCTTAAATCGTCGTGGAGTGCCTTGGGGGGCCTCTCGGGCAGTCGTGGGCCTATCTTGGGCGTCCTGGAGCGGTCTTTCGGCGACTCGGGGCCCGCTTGGGCCGTCTTGGGAGCCTCTGGAGGCCCTCCTGGACTATTTTGGTCTTCCCCGGCCGCCCCGTCTTCCCACGGGGGGTCGGAGGCGGCGGCCTCCGAGGCCCAGGACGCGGAAACCCTGTAAAAACATATGGAAAACGAGCCCCGGTACCCCCATGCCCCCTCGGGGCAGCCGCCCCTGAGTTTGGCCTCTTTGGGCCCTCTTTGAAGTCCTCTCGGAGCAATCTTGGGACCTCGTGTGGGCCTTTTGGGCCACCATGGGGCCATCTTGGACGGTTTGGTGCGCTCTTGGGCCGTCCTGGCGGCCCTTGGCGCCCGCTGCGGGCGCCGAGGAGCCCTCGAGGCCCAGGGAACGCCCTGGAGCGTTCAGAAAGGCCCGCCGGCGCCGGGAGGTCCGCCGGCGCCGGGGACGAACGCGGATTGCGGGGGGTGTGGGCCGGATTCAAAAAAGCGGGGCGCCCAGCGCCCGGGGGCCAGAGACGCCCGCTGTATTATATACACATCCGCAAACATCTCCTCACCACCTGTCCAACTGACCCCTCCCTCTGGGCTGCCAGATGTGCCAAGAGGCTCGATCAATCCTGAAACCATGTAAAAGTTGCGGACAGAAGACCCAACCGCATACATTTGTGAGCAACGCAGTTTTGAGCATCGTTTGTTTCGTCCCACAGCAAGGCGCGCAGCGCGCCACGATGTGCCCTTGCGGTCTGCAAGCGGCACCGAACCCGCTTGGCCCAGCGCTGGAGGTGGGCAAACAACTTCCGCCTCGAAAGACTGCCGGCCACAGGCTCGCATGTCACCTGCCCGGGAGAGCGCTCAGGGAGAGACGAGCATCGCGCACAGGCGTCCACCTAAGAGAGCGGCCGCGCGGTGCAAGCGCGCTCTGCGGCCGTAGAACGCGCGCCGCTGGCAGCCCCCGTCGCATTCAGCTTCCATCGAGCCAGACCCGCTAAGGGCCGCGGCAATGCCCGCATCTCGGCTCGGAGCGCCGGAGCCGCTCAAGGCGGCAGCGGGCTCGACCGCCCCCTCGGCAGCCTGGCCCCCGTCGCCCTCGCGAAGGCCTGCCGGCAGCGCGCCCGCGCCAGCGTCGCCCTCCTGACCGCGACGCCCCTCGGCCTGCAGCTCGTCGCCCTCGAACGCCTTCGGGCCGCCGCCGCCGCGGCCCCGGCGCGCCGCAGAGCCGGCGCCGCTTGCCGCTTCGTGGCCCCGTTGGCATCCGCATCAGGAGCGACAACATTCGTCGCGCGCGGCTTCGCAAAGAGCTCGCGTGCGCTTTCCGCGACGAACCCCGCTCAGAGGCATCTGAAGCTGTGGATCGCCCGGGCGCCTCTGACGCCGCCCTCCGCACCGTGGCCACCACGTGCTTGGCGTGGGGGTGGCCTCGGGGCGGCTTTCGAGCGCCCCTTGTAGCCGTCGTCGAAGTCGACCGCCTCGCTGCCAGCCCGCGCAATCCAGAAGACTACCCCGTCCAAGGTGAGCGCCCTCCTCTGCCTGGTCAGCCCGTCGCCGCGCGAACTTCGCGCGCGCGACCGCCCCGCGGTCGCCGCTCCTCCGCAGCGGCGCGATCTTGCCGTCGTCTACGTCCTCGAACGCGCCGCGGCCCCTGACCTCCCGGACCCCGAGCCCCAGGTCGCCCACCTCGCCGAACGCGCCGAGCGCGGGCCAGATCCCCCCCCCAGACCCGGGCCCAAGCGGCCACGTGAGAAGTCGTCGCCGCGCGACCTCTCTGCAGCAGCCCTTTTTCACAACGTAGTCCGCGGCGCAGCGCGCAGTGGTCGACGCCGCCGAGTGCATCGAGATCGCCGGCAGCGCGAGTGGCTCGGCGCAGTCCATCGTCTTGGGCGGGCCAGGCAGGGGAGCCCCGAGTGCCTTCGCACACCGTCGAGACCCAAGGCCGTGGTCCTCGCCCGCCAGAGGTAGCTCCGCCGCCGCGCGCGCCGACGTTGCCAGCGTCGCGCCCGCCTCGTAGCAGCGCCCTTCAGCGAAGAGCCCCGAAGCCACACGGGGCAATCCGTGGCCACTGGGCCGCGGCAGCCCGTCGAGGATGAAGCTCTGGGTCGGCCTCCAGCTGCGCCCAGGCCCGTGAAAGAACAGTCCTTCGACCAACGTGCGGACCGCGACGTTGGCCGTCGGCGTGGAATGGCACGAGCTCGGCGATCTCGTCGGGCATCTCGAAGCGCGGTCAGCTCTGAGATCGCTCCAATTGGCGGTGCCAGAGCGGGCCAATGCGGGGTGGGCGCCAGTCGCGGGGCCGCCTCGCATCTTCGCGCATTCGGCCACTGCCCGTGCGCAATCAACAATCAGCCTGGCGTAGCCCATCTCCTTGTCCGAGACGGGCCCCATTTGCGCCCCGCTGCCGTGGACGCGGCCCCTCTAGCGATTCACTTGCGCAAGTGGCTCTCGAATGCTCCGTTCTCGGTGCCCGCGGTGTGTCTCGCGCGATCTGCATCGCTGCCGGGCCTTCGCATCCGGGCGCAGAGCCTGCGCGACGCGTCATGGCGAGGACCCCGACACGTCGAGCACGCCCCCGCCCTTCGGCCTGACCCACTTCTCGAAAGGAAATGGATGGGACGGTACGGGCATCGATAATTGCGAGGCATGGATGTATGCATATTCGACGCCTGGGAACCAAGTTCCTGGGACCCCGGAGGGGGTGGATATTTTTTCTCCCAGTGTAGCGCGAGGCGCATCAAGTTATGCTGGAATAGAGCTGACCAAGGGTCAGACACGGGCGCGCCCAGCGACGGCGCCGTCAGCTCGACGAGCAGGCCCAGTGGCCGGTGCGCGCGACAGGCCTTGACGCTGAGCTTCGCGGCGCTGCACCTTGTCAAGGTCGTCGAGCTCAGCCACCTGCTTCTGAGGTAGCGGGGGGTAGCGGGCTGGGGAAGCACGAATGGCATCCCAGCGCGCTGGCCGGCGGGAGTCGCAAAGGTGCGACAGCAACCGAAGGCGCGAACCGAACGCGGTGTGGCACACCGGGCAGGTCGCATCAGCGCCGGCGTAGCTTCTCTGTAAGCACCAGACATGATGTCGAATTCGAAGACGCTGGTCACGCGCCTTCGCCGTCGCGAAGCACGCGTCGCACTGGTGGCAAGCAAATGGGCGGGCGCCACCTCCGACCGGAGCGGCGCCGCCACGGTCGCAGCAAGAGTCGGTGAAAAACAACATGCTCACGGAATTTGCCCAGCGCGCTGGGGAGTCGCTGATGAACGTCGCCCAAGCGCTCGCGGTACCCTCCGGCGGCGGCAGCGTTCTGCACGGGGCAACGAGCTCGCGGAGCTTGCCCAAGTCGGAGACGAGCAGAGTGACCCAGGGCAGGCGCGCCCCGCCAGGCCGCGCGGCGAGCAGGGCCAGCAGCGCGGGCGGTGAACTACGCACCAGGCGCCCTAAGTAGCGGAGGCGAGTGCGCATCGCCAGGCAGTCCAAGCTGGGCTGTCTGAGCCGCTTGCGTATCTCGAGGTCCGTTTCGGAGTGGCCGAACCGCGGGGCGTCGCCGACTCGTCGGAGCACCCGCATGTTGACGCCGTTGAGCATCTGCAGACATCGCCTCGTAGGGGCGACCACGTGCACGTTGAAGGAGGCGGCCGAGGGCCAACGAGTGCATGAGCCAGATCTTCAAGCTGGCGCCCACCACGACCGCCGAGCCGAAAACCTTGCTCGCTAGAGGCCCATAGCTCATGGCAGCCTGCTGTCTCAAGTGGTTGGCGTCTGGGGCCGCGGCGCCAGTGGCGCTCGCCGCGCCGCCAGGGTGCTTATAGGTGGTGACCACCAGCAGTAGTACCCCAGGTCGGGGTGCAGCGACTGCAAGACCTCCGTCGGGAAGCACTCGGCGCCGCTGTAGCCGGGCGGTGGCCCCGTGGCCTCGGTGCGTGAGGAGGCACTCGGACTTGCCCGCTGCCGATTGATGGCGAGACTCGGGCGGTCGTATATGTCGCACACCGCGCGCAGCGCGACGTCGATGGCAGCGCGCAGCTCCTTGGGCAGACGCGCCATGAGCATGACGTACTCGTCGTCGACGAACGCGGCGCCCACGAGAGAGACGACCTCTGGGTCGGCATTCGGCCCAGCGGGATCAGCATCCAGAAAGCCGGGGACCTGGCCCGCAAGCGGAGCAAGATCCGGGCGCCCAGGAGAGCGTCTCGGACGAACGCCATTGCCAACGAGAACGTGCCGTTGAAAACCACGGCGCCGTACTTGCACCCCTGGCGGCCGCCAGCGCGTGCGACGATGGCGGCGTCAACGTCACCGTAAGAAAACCATGCGGCCGCGTGGAGGTTTTTGAGCGGGCGGATGACTTTGGCGCGAACGCCCCACTGGACGAAGAGGCAGCCATGCCGCGCCACCCACTGCACTATCCATGCGGATTGGTCTGGGTCGAGGCCCAGGGGTGCGAGGCAAGCCTCAGGGTCAGTTGCATCGCAGGGCCATCCAAGCACCACCTCCCTCACGATGCGGTCGAACGCCTTCGCGAGGTCAACTAGCCATACAAACGACGACCGCCCAGTCGCATTGCAGTACGCTTCGAAGCTGTGCACGAGGTGAGCGGCATAATCAGTCCCCCTGCCGGCGTCAGCGCCGCGCTGCACCTCGGGGATATTGCCCTGGCAAGGGCCAGTGGCCATGTGGCTGTCTAGCTGCTTGAGGCCTCTGGCGGCGCGATCCTCCAGCGCGATGCCGCGAGACTCGTCGCAGTCGGCGAGGGGGCCCTTGCGCTCGCGAACGTTCTGCATGCGGCCACCTGTCCAATGGGCGGGCCACCGCTCAGTGCCAGCCCAAGCGCGTTTGCGAAGATGAGGTCACGTGGGAGACACCCGTGCGCTGCGCAGCCCAACCAAGGAAGATCCTGCGAAAGTATGCTCGGTGCGCCTCCCGGCCGGCGGCATGAGCGACTCTGCGCGAGGGCGCCAGCAGGCGCAGTATCGACCGCGTGTGGTCGGAGACCCACGGCTGGCGAGGGCGGTCCTCAGGCCTGCCGAAAGAATGGCGGGCGGCGGTGCGCACCTGCGACATCATCACCTGGGTCTTCTCGTCGACGGATGCGTCGACGGGGGCCTGCAACTGGCGCGGCATGGTCTGAAACGCTTGGACCCAGGCTGGATCGCCAAGCCGCCATTTGTCGAACCGGAAAGCCTCGGGCTTGGGCGCGCGCGCGCGAGGAGCGCAGACGTGATGGTCGCAGCCACGACGAGACGATGGTCTTCCTTAGCTGTGAGCGAAAGCTGCATCTCACGCGGGACGTAAGAGACGGACGCGCGGGACAGCTCGTCCAAAGGCCCGCAGACGCAGTCAATGCGGGACGCGGGGCCTTTGCCGGAGCGCCACGCATAGCCCACATCATAGAAGGCGTCGACGGCGGCGAGGCGGAGGCGGGCGAGCACCGAAAGCAGGTCGGAGCCGTTGGCCGCAATTGCTTCCGAATCGCAGGCGCCGATTGCCCCGGAGTGATCGGCGCCCGCCCTGCCGTTCGCATCGATGCCGGGGAACATCTTCGCAGACGGGGTGCGGTCACGAAGCGTCAGCAGCGTCTGGAGCAGGAGATCCCAGACGGCCCCCCGCTCGGCAGTGGGGGCGCGGTCACTCGGCGCATGGGCGCTGACGAGAATAAATGGGATGCCCTGCACATCCCGGCCCATTGCCCAGTAGAGGCGACTGGATGGCGCCGCGTAGGAGGAGGCACGGAATTGGGCGGCTGCGCGGACCCACGCCTGGCAGCCGCGCCCGCCCATGTTGTCCGACGCGCCGACATGCATGGTGTAGCGGAGGCCTCGGCGCACTTCGGCGGCGCGTGCGCGACCCTCCTGGATGAAGACGAAATCGAGGCGCTCATCGTGGAACGCCTGCTCCAGAAGCTGGACCTTGCCGAGCAGGAGGGCGCAGCTGACATGAGCGCCAGCAGCTGCGTCCTCTTGAGGGCGCAGCGTACACACGTTACCAGTGGCAACGCGGAATGTCGAACAAACCATCGTAGATGGACGAGTCGGTGCTGGTGGTGTGGGTGCCGCCGGAGACGAAGGAGTCCTCGCAGACGGCCAGGTCGCAGACATGCCTCGACGTGGCCTGGGTGGACGTACTCGTCGGCCGTGAGCTGGTCGATCATCTGGCCCAGGATCGTGTACGCCTGGGACTCATGCGTCGCAGTCGCCTCGATGGGAGCCTCCGTCGTGAGAGAAGCCTCCCGCTCCTGGAGCTCCGTCTCGAGTGCAGTGACCTCGCATGCGGCCGTGTGCTGGAGCTGCAAGGCAGCTGCCACCGCCTGCTCGGCCTCCGCTTGGCGCTGGCGGGCACGTCCCAGAGCAGCACGTGCGCCATCGATCTGGGCACCGATCAGCTTGGAGCCGAGCAGCTGCCGCTTGGTGTCGGTGAGCCAGGTCGCCAACGACGCGCGCTCGTTGGCGAGCTCCGCGTCGTCCTCGGGGATGGCCGCCAGGGCCGTCTCCAACTGCTTGATGCGGGCCTGGAAGTGGCCCTTGTTCGAGGGCTCGTTGCTGAGAGCCTGCGGCACGCGCTCGGCAGGCACAGGAGGAGGCGAGGGAGGCGTGGGGGGTACGTCCTTGGCCTCGTGGATCTTCGTGAGGATCTCCGTGAGGGCGTTCAGTTGAGCACGAACGCGGTTTTGCTGCGATGCAGTCGTCTCCTTGGCCGGGGGGATGGCCAACGCCGACTTCGCAACTTCGCCGTAGGTCCGCTTGAGCCCACACGTCGTGCAGGCTTTTGGGCTGTGGTTCGTGCTCGTGCACTGCTTGCAGGTCCATGTGCGTGAACTCGAAGGAGGCAGCTGGCTGTGCGATGGGCGAGGGCCAACATAGTGCCAGTTGCCGGAAGGGTCGCGCTTCCATTCCGATGTAAGAAGGCGAGCCACTGCCACCATAGCCGCCACCGGCGCCCTGGCCACGCGTATTGCGTCCCCGTCCTGACATCGGAAGGCGGGCTAGTCTTGGAAACCGCCGAAGACTAAAGCTTGCGATGCAAAACTGGATGTAAACTTACGTATTGACTCAAGCCCTAAACCTCCTTGAGCCAAAATGGATCTGGACGATGTGGGCGTGTAAGAATGCCAGGTGCTGCTCTGCAGGGCCGTTGCATTCTCATAAGGGACCCTCCCCCTAACGTCGCAGACAGGCGCACGCACCTCCCCATGCCCCCGAGACCAGGATCACTCGAAAGAGAACGACGTATCCGCACTCCCGAGGCCACGATCCCTCGAAACACACGATGCGTCCGCGTCCCGAGCTTCTAAGAAGGCCCAGGCAGGCAGCCGAGGCAGCCAAGATGGCCCAAGATGCCTCGACGGATCAAGATTGCCCCACAGCGGCCGAATATGGCCACACCACGGCCCAAAGAGGACCTTCGACAAGGCTCGAAGAAACCAACATCATTGTTTTCCCACTGGTGTTTGAATGAGCTTCGCCTTCTCGCCTGTTCGGGTGTCCGTCAGCTGCAGACGGCACAATAAGCTCCCACGAGGTCTAAAGACGGCCCACGAGGACCCAACGAGGGCCTCCCGTGAGACCCACGACGGCCTTAGAAGGCCCATCGACTGCCCACACGATCGCCTCCAGGCACCTTCCATACAGCCAAGAGGAGGGCCCCAAGGCGGCTCAAGAGAGCCCCCAAGTCGGCATACGAGCGACCTGAAACGGCCCAAGAGGGCCCCAAGGACCCCCCGAGACTGCCTCACAGGAGGCCAAGACAGCCACAAGACGGCCCGACCAAGTTCCCTGACGGCTCCTCAAATGGTGAAGACGAATTGTGTCACACGTGACGGCCTTCCTCTTCCTCCCCCTCCTCCTCCTCCTTCTCCTCCTCCATCTCATCAGTACAAACATCACCATCATCATCATCATCATCATCATCATCATCAGCAGCAGCAGCAGCAGCAGCAGCATCAGCATCAGCAACATCATTATCATCAGCATCAGCATCATCATCATCATCATCATCATCATCATCATCATCATCATCATCATCATCATCATCATAATCAGCATCGTCATCAGCACCGTCATCAGCATCGTCATCATCATAATCATCATCATTATCAGCATCATCATCATAATCAGCGTCATCACCATCATCATGATCACCACCATCAGCATCATGATCATCACCAGCAGCATCCTCATCAGTATCGTCATAATCATCATCAACAACATCATACGTATCATCAGCATCATCATCATCAGCAGCATAAGCAGCATCAGCATCAGCATCATATCAACAGCATCATCATCATCATCGTCATCGTCACCGTCATCAGCATCATCGTCAGCATCATCATCGTCATCATCATCGTCATCATCATCATCGTCATCGTACTCATCATCGTACTCATCATCATCCTCAGCAGCAACAGCAGCATCAGCATCGTCATCATCAGCATCATCATAATCAGCATTCCCATCCTCATCCTCCTTCTCATCCTCCTCATCATACTCCTCCTTCTGCTCCACCTCGCCCTCGTCATCATCACCATCATCATTATGGAAACATCATCTTCACCACCATCACCATCATCACCACCACCACCATCATCATTATCATCCTTATCCTCATCCTCATCCTCATCCTCATCATCGTCATCGTCAAAGTCATCGTCAGCACCATCAAAGTCACCAACGACAACATCATCAGAATCATCAGTATCACCATCATCATCATCAGCATCATCATCATCAACATTAGCATCATCCTCATCGCCACGCTTATCGTTGGCATCAGTGTCAGCATCTGCATCATCATCAACATCAGCAGCATCCTCATCGCCATGGTTATCGTAGGCATCGGCATCGGCATCAGAATCAGCATCAGCATCATCATCATCATCAACATCATCATCATCATCAACATCATCATCATTATCATGATCAACATTATCATCAGCACCATCATCATCACCACTATCATCACCACTATCATCACTCGTATCATCATCATCATCATCATCATCACCACCACCATCATCATCATCATCATCACCACCACCATCATCATCATCATCACCATCACCATCACCATCACCATCACCATCACCATCATCGTCATCATCATCATCATCATCATCATCATCATCATCATGATCATGATCATCACGGATCTCCCAAGCTTGGAGACACGAGGTGACACACGTGACGGCTTCCCGTGCCCCCTCGAACATTCGCCACCCAGAATGCGTGGCTGGCACGGTGGTGGGACTTGCCGCAGGCAGCTGGATTCTGGCCCCGGGGCGGGGGCTACATGTCTTCATATCCACCGCCTGCCGAGGTCTCCGAAGATCGACCCCCCAGGCGATGATTATAAAGAAATCCCCACCGCGCATAAAACAACGCCCCGAAGTCGCGAGCCCTCCGAATCCACTTCCCGCGAAGCGGCTGCTTCGAGGCGCCCAGCACGGGTCGACAGGGCGGTGACCTCGTCGACCATGGCGACGACCGCCGCCCCCACCTTCCCCACCTCCCCCTCGTCACACCCTCCCTCCATCCCTCTTCTCCTGGCCTCTTCCCTTCCTTCCCATTCCCCCCCTCGCAGGGGGGGGGGGGGGGGCGAATAGCCCAAGGGAGAGCAATGCCGTGTACCCAAGGGCTCCGGTGGTCCATGCCTTCGGCGAGGCTCCCGGGCGAATGCACGTATAATGCCCGCCCCTGGGCCCTTCGTCGCCTCCGACCCTCCCCTCCCACTCGGCCGCGGGCCGCCAGAAGCCGCCCGGCGCGGCGTTGGCCCTGCACACCGCGCGCCAGGCCGCGACGGTCGCGCCTCGGCGCCGGGGCAGCCCGCTCTCGCGGGGGCGGGCGGGAGGCGGGCCCTCGCTCCTCCTCGCGGGGGGGAGGGCTCCTCGCCCTTCCCTCATCATCCATCCTCGCCCACTCCCACCCTCCTCCGCCCCTCCCTCCTCCCTCCTCCCTCCTGCTCATCCTCCTCCCTCCTCATCCTCCTCTCTCTTCCTTTCTCTTCCTCCTCCTCCTCCTCCTCCTCCTCCTGCCCCTCCTCCTCCCTCCCTCCCTCCCTCCCCTTTCCTCGGGGGCGTCCATGTCTTCCTCCTGTCGGCTGTCGGCTGCGAGCTGGACTCTGAAGCGCCTGTAGTAGTTCGGTACACTGAACCTCCGGAATCAAATGGCTAAGAATTCAGAATGACCGCAACGACTCGCACACACTCGAGTACCGCCACAGACACTTGAACCTAATATCACACCAATAACATTGTAACCATCACAGACACTTGAGCATACGCCGCCGTGCTTCCTAGCACGTTGAGGCGTGGTAGAACGCCAAGTGCTGTCTGGCAGGGTGTATGTCATCTACTAAGGCCCGCCCCCACTACTAGCAGACAGGCGCGTGCTTCACCGCCCCTTCCGAGGCCACGAGCCCTCGCAAAAATCCGCCGATCCTGTCGGTGTGTGTGAGGGGGAGCTCTGGGCTCCCCGTCCCAGGGCGGTCCTGGGAGGCACCTCTCATTCGAAGCTGTTGCTCCCCTCCCAATGGCCACTTGTGGCTCTCCAAGCTCGCGAACCCGAGACGAATCGGGCCAGGTCGGAATCGAGGTCGCCATACTCACGGAGGGAAGCCCCTTCCCTCTGATCCCTTCGCCACCCGAGGGGGGCGGGCCCTGCAGAGGGGGGGTCCCCGGGGGGGTGCCCTGGGTCAGCATAGCATTCTGGCCCGAGGCCAAGTTCCCGGTCTCCCTCCGGGTGACTGCCTCCCTCTAGCCGTGCCACGACCCCCAGAGCGTCGGCCGCGAACCCAGCGCACGAACGCAGCTTCCACCAGCCTGGGGCCAGCGCCCGCCAGGCTCCAGGCCGCTGCCCCCCGGACCTCCAAACTTAATTTTGAGGGTGCGGCAGTTGAGAGGGCATGGGTGGACAGCAATATTCGAACCCCCCAACCACCACCCGTGCTAAAATCATGATTACTTTCCGGGGGCGGGGGGATGAAGATCCCCCTCAAGTGTGCGAGGGCTCGAATATTTTTTGTCCGTGCGCTGTCGCTCTTCTAGGGGCGGTAGCAGGACGCGCTCCTGGGTCTCCCTCCACCTCCCCGTTCGGCTTGCGCAGCCGATTTTCCTGGCGCCTCCCTGCGCCGGGAGGCGCCAGTGTGTCGAGGAATGGCGCCCCGGGATCCGGACAAAACCGGACAATCCGGCAGCCCCAGGAATCCTTAGGAATCCGTAGGAATTCTTTGGAATCCATTCCCAGAACACCATTCCGAGGCAACATTTTGAATGCCCGGAGCCAACTGTAAGCCACTTCGTGTTCTTCGTGTTCCCAAAACACCATTCCCGGACCACATGTTGAATGCCCGGAGCCAACTGTAGGCCACTTCGTGTTCTTCGTCTTCCCAGAACACCATTCCCAGGCCACATTTTGAATGCCCGGAGCCAACTGTACGCCACTTCGTGTTCTTCGTCTTCCCAGAACACAATTCCCAAGCCACATTTTGAATGCCCGGAGCCAACTGTAGTAGGCCACTTCGTGTTCTTCGTGTTCCCGGAACACCATTCCTATACAATTGTTTTGATTGCCCGGAGCCAGCTGTGGGCCACTTCGAAATCTTCGTGTTCCCAGAACACCAGTCCTGTGCCATATTTTGAATGCCCGAGATGAGGCAGGCTGAAGCCGAGGCAGGCTGAGGCTGAGGCAGGCTGAGGCTGAGGCTGAGGCACGCCGAGGCAGGCTGAGGCTGAGGCTGAGGCAGGCTGAGGCTGAAGCAGGCTGAGGCTGAGGCTGAAACAGGCTGAGGCCGAGGCAGGCTGAAGTTGAGGCTGAGGCAGGCTGAGGCTGAGGCAGGCTGAGACTGAGGCTGAGGCAGGCTGAGGCTGAGGCTGAGGCTGAGGCAGGCTGAGGCTGAGGCTGAGGCTGGCTGAGGCTGAGGCAGGCTGAGGCTGAGGCTGCGGCTGAGGCTGGCAGGCTGAGGCTGAGGCTGATGCAGGCTGAGGCTGAGGCAGGCTGAGGCTGAGGCTGAGGCTGGCTGAGGCTGAGGCTGAGGCCGAGGCAGGCTGAGGCTGAGGCTGAGGCAAGCCGAGGCAGGCTGAGGCTGAGGCTGAGGCTGAGGCAGGCTGAGGCTGAGGCGGGCTGAGGCTGAGGCCGAGGCAGGCTCAGGAGGCTGAGGCAGGCTGAGGCTGAGGCAGGCTGAGACTGAGGCTGAGGCAGGCTGAAACTGAGGCTGAGGCCGAGGCAGGCTGAGGCTGAGAGGCTGACGCTGAGGCTGAGGCAGGCTGAGGCTGAGGCTGAGGCCAACGAATCGCTTCGTGGCCGGCCCCCCCCTCACGATGACAGTGATTTAGCTTCCCGTCCCGGTCCGAACCACAGTAAGAGGACGCCGCGGAAGAGGAGGAGGAGGAGGAGGAGGAGGAGGAGGAGGAGGAGGAGGAGGCGGAGACACACAGATTGATTGTCGTATGGTTTTTCAAAGATTTAAGCGTTCTCGCCTTTGTCGACTCTCGGGGGGCCCTGACCGTCCAAGAGGCCGCCAAGACGGCCAAAGAGGACCCCCAGAGAGCCTCAAGGCGGCCCCGGGGCCACCAAGACGGCCCCCGCAGGAACTACACCGCGCGAGAGCGCCCTAAAAGGCCCAAGACGCCCCCGTAAAACCCCGAAGAAGCCCCCTGGTGGCCACAAGAAGCCCCCAAGAGACCCCCCAAAAGGCCCCAAGAGGCTCTAAAAAGGTCCCACAGCTGGACTGTACGTGGTCCTGACGAGCACCCCGCCAAGCGAAAGGAATCCACGTCCAGAAGTGACGTTTTGAGCAGCAGCTCTTCCTGCGGATGTATAACGCAACGTATCCAATGTATCTACGTCTGGCGCTGAAAGGGTGGGGGCGCATCCGCCGTCCCTCTTGAAGACGACGCGGCAGACTAGCGACGCAGACCCGCAAAGCAAACCACCCGACGCCCAGTCGCTACGTGCTCCGGACGTGCATCCCGCGAAGCGAGAGGAATCCACGTCCGGATGTAACGTGCTGAGCGGCAGCGTTTTCCAGCGAACGCCTTCATGCAACGTATCCAATGTATCAAACAAAATCATAATTGCAGCATTATGTACTGTGTTACATTATTATGTATCCCCCCTAACCCCCCCCAGGGGCTACGCCACATCCGTCGACCCAAAGTGACCACCCCCTCCCGGGACTCAGAAACCTACCAAAACCTATTAGAAAATCTATGATTTCGACCTTTTGGGCCTCTTGGGGGACCACGAGGGCCCCAAGACGGCCCAAAATGGGCCCAAAAAAGCAAAAAAAACCCAATGACGGCCCAAGAGGGCCCCGAAAGCGCCCACGCCTGCGCCTCCAAATGCCAAAATCATTGAATTTCCTATGGCTTTGGCGATATTTCAGCGTCCTCGCCTTTGCGGCCCAAACAGCTTCCAACATCGCCCCAAAACAACCCAAAAAGCCCCCAAGAGGTCCCCAAGACGGCCCAAGAGAACCCCAAGACTGCCCAAAGAGGCCCCAAAGACGGTCCAAGAGACCCTTAAGACGGCCCAAGAGGACGCCAAGAGGGCCCCAAGGCGGCCGCGAAAGGCCCCCAAGACGGCCTCCGAAGGGACGCAACGGCAGAAAAAAAACACTCCAAGACGGCCCAGGACGCCCACAAGAGGCCCCAAAAGCCCCCCAAGAGCCCCCCAAGGGGCCCCCAAGAGGCCTCCAAAAACCCACAAGAAGCTTCCAAGAGGCCTCAAAGAAGCCCCCCAAAGCCCACACAACGACTGGAGTGTACTGTCATTTTTCCCCCCTGGGCGAACTGCGGCGCATCGCCAACAATGTGGAAGTTGGTCACGGCGGCTCCCATGATTAGAACTGGCGCTGGAAGGGGATATGGGGAGGGAGTATGAAACGGGAGGGGGGAAAGGCTCCAAAGACGCCCCCAAGAGGCTCAAAGAAGCTCCCAAGAGGCCTCCAGGAGGCCCCCAAGAGGCTCCCAAGAGGCCCCGCGACGACGTGACCAAGACGGTACAGGATGGCCCCAAGGGGGCCCCCCAAAAAATCCAGACGCCCCAAGAGGGCACCAAGAGGACCTCCAAGAGCGCTTCCAGAAACAAAAATCATTGATTTCCCATTATGTTTTGAAAGATTCTGGCGTTCTCGCTTTTGTCGACTCCCCGAGCCCCAGGACGGCCCAAGAAGCCTCCGAAAGCCCCCCAAAACGGCCCAAGACGCCCCCACGAAACTCCCGAGAACCCCCAAAACGACTTCACAGTACGTACTCCGGACGTGCACCCCGCGAAGCGAAAGGAATCCACGTCCGACGTGTTGCCGGAGGCAGGTCCGCGGAGGCTATAATGCAACGTGTCCAATGTATCCAATGATTGTATACTTGCTACATGTTGTATTGTGTTACATCATTCTGTAATTACCCCCCCTACCCCCCCCCTAGGGGCCACGCCACTTCCGCCGACCCAAAGTGGCCCCTCTTTCCTGCGCCTCAAAAA